GAAAAGACATATACAAAATGAAAGTGAAAGAATGGAAAACAAACACCAAGCAAGCAGAAGCCAAAAGCAAGCAGAAGTCGCTACACTTTTATGTGACAAAGTAGAACTCAAGCCAAATTTAGTCAGAAGAGATAAAAGTCACGACAGAATAATAAAGGGCTCAATCCATCAAGAAGACATAATCATTGTAAATATATATGCACCAAATCCAATTTCAGAAAAAAAGCACCACTGGACATAAAGAGACAGATACATCCAGACAGAATGAATTGATGACTTCAATGCCTCACACTCCTCAATGGATCACTAGATAAAAAAAAAAAAATCAAAGAAACTTCAGAATGAAACTGCATCACAGAACAGACTTAACAGACATCTTCAGAATATTCCACCCAACAGCAGCAGGACACACATTCTTCTCAACTACCCATGGAACTTTCTACATTTTAGGCCATAAAGCAGGTCCTAACACACACATAAAAAATGGAAACTATGTCATATCATAATGAAATAAAATTAGAAATCAATAGCAAGAAGATTACAGAAACTATCCAAACACATGGAGATTAAGCAATGAAGAAATTTTAAAATTCTTACCATCAAATGAAAATGAAAACACATATTAGCAGAACTTCAGGAGTGGAGCAAAGACAGTTCTAAGAAGGAAGTTTATAGTTACAAATTACTACAATAAAAAAATCAGACAGAGCCCAAATAAATAACCTAATAATGCACTTCAACATCTCAGGAAAACACTAACAAGTCCAACCTAAAATTAGTACACAGAAAGAAATAGTAAAGATCAAGGAAGAAATTAATGAAATAGAGACTAAAATGAATCAAACAGAGTTGGTGCTTTGAAAAGGTAAGTTTGACAAACCCTCACCCAAGCTACCCAAAAGAAACAGATAGAATACCGCAATTAGTAAAATTAGATATGGAAAAGGGGTCATTAAAATAGATACCAATGAAATCCAGAGGATCATTAGGGAATATTCTGAATTTATATTCCAATAAATTAGAAAATATAGAACAAATTTCTAGAAGCATCTGACCTGCCAGAGTTGAATCAAGAAGACATAAATAATTTAAACAGATCTATAATGAGCAATGATATTGAAGCAGTAATAAAGAATCTCTCAAGAAAGAAAAGCCCAGGACTAGACAGATTCACTGATGAATTTTGTTAGACCTTGAAAGAAGAAATAATTATTTCATAAAATAGAAAATGAAGAAATACTACCAAACTCATTCTATGAAAGCCAGTATTAATCCAAAACCCAAAAGGGACAATAACACACACACACACACACACACAAAAGAAAATTATAGACTAATTTCCTTAATGTACAGGTACAGTTTTTCAATAAAATATTTACAAACCAAATTCACCAACACATTACATAATGCATACACAATGATCAAGCTGGTTTCATTCCAAAGGTGCAAGGATTGTTCAGCATACACAGATCAATACATGGAATACAGCACATAAAGAGAATCAGGGACAAAAATCACTTGATCCTCTCTATAGATGCAGAAAAAGCCTCTGACAAAATTTAACATACCTTCATGACAAAAAGCCCTAAAGGAACTAGGAATGCAAGAAATATACTTCAACATGACTCTAATAAAAAAAAAAGAAACATTATTCTGTAAACCATTTTAAATTTCATTTTTCTCATGTTTCATTTTTATTAAATTGATAAAAGTATATGTTTTTGACAAACTGGGAATAAAAATAAGCAAATAAAACATTTGTTCTGTTTTTAGAAAGGCTATATGTGGCAAACTGATAGCCAACATGAAAACATTTCCTCTAAAACCAAGAATGAGACAGGGTGTCCAGTCCCTCCACTCTTATTCCCTGTAGTACTTGAATTCTTAGCCAAAGCAAGAAGGCAAGAGAATAAAACAAAAGAGATACAAAAGGAAGAAATCAAATTACTCTTACTTCCTTGAAGGGGAAGGTAAAATGATGCTGCTGCTTTGGAAACAGTCTGCCTGTTCTTCAAATTCCTAAACATAGAGTTACCACAAGTCTCCTCCTAAGTCTATGTGCGAAAGAAATGAAAGCCTGTGTCTACACAAAAACATTAACACAAATTGGTACAGCAGTGTGAATCACAGTAATCACAAAGGAGAAACGCCTAAGTGTCCATCAACTGAAGAATGGATTAACACATGTGGTAAACACATACAACAAAATATTGAGCCATTAAATAAAAAGGAAAGAAGTACTGGTATATGTAATAACATGTGTGAATTTTGAAAATGTTATGCCAAGTCAAAGAAGCCAGTCATGAAAAGTCATATATAAAATGTTTCTATTTCTTTGAAATGTCCAGAATAGTCACTCCATGTACAGATGGCCTCCATATCCCTGGGTTTGCAGTCTGTGAATTCAACCAACCACAGATCAAAAATATTCAGGAAAAAGGTGTATTTGCAATGAACATGTATAGCTTTTTTCCTTATCATCATTCCCTACAAAACATTTATGTAGCATTTACATTCTATTGGGTATTAAATATAATCTAAAGATTTTAAGTATACAGGAAGAAGTGTATACAACGGTTATATACAAATAACTATGCCATTTTACTTAAGGGACTTACATTTTGGTATCTGTGGGGAGTTTTAGAACCAATCTCCCACAGATATCAAGGAAGGACCATATTCAAAAAGCAGATTAGTGTTAGCCTGGGACAAAGGCAGACAAGGAACAAACAAGAAAGATGACTACTAATGGGTATGAAATTTAAGGAAGCTAAAAGTTCAAAAATGGTCATGCAACTGTGTATTCATTTAGTAAATATTCATAACTTCAGTTATTCATAACTTCAACTGTATGCTTTAAACAGGTGAGGCTCATAGTATGTAAAACATATTACTGCAAAGTACATTATATCAATAAAGTACAATAATTGTACTGAGATAAGGAAACTAGACCCAAAAGAGTGTACACTAGTTGAATCCATATACAAGTTCTTCAATAGGCAAAACTCATCTACAGGAACAGAAATCAAAGAGGATTTGGCCACAGGGGAGGGATGAGGAGGAGAAAAGACTTTCAGGTATATATTAACTGGGTATGTACATTTTTCAAAATTCACTGAATTCTACATTTAAGATTCATATATTGTACTGTATGCAAATTATACTTTAATGAAAGCTAAATCCAAAGAAAAACGCCACAACTGAGGTCCATAAAGTAAATGTTCTTAGCTAGGACATTGTTCAGTATTTTGAAAAATGGATCACTGCGTAGAGGGTCTGTAAGACCACCACAAGATTTAGTGAATTGTTAAGAAAATTCATAGGTCTCAGCATTATTACCATAATCACAGCTATGATTTAGTACAGAGAAAGGATGAAAAACAAAATCAGCAAAGGGAAAAATGGACATGAAGAAAGTCCAGAGGAAACCTGACTTGAGCTTCAAAGAATCCTCTCCCTGAGAAAGTGTTTAATTTTTTCCAGCACCAAATTTTGACAATTCATATGAAATGCTGTCAACCAAAGAAACTCATTAGAGACTCTGTGTGCACAGTTTCTACTGGGAGCTGGTCACACGGGCAGATCTGACTAGTACATACTAAGATTACAGAGTCCCAGAAGGAATGCAGGTGTTCAGCACAAACCATGAAACAGTTTAAAAGCAGTGGGCCACTCTTATCACTTAGGAAATCCACACTGCCAGCGACAGACAAGGGCAAGCCTTACAAGAAAGGCCTTCTGAGGACAGGAGCTTTGGATAGACTAGGTTAACTCTTCTCATAGGTGTAACATTTGCAAGTTACTTTCAAAGGTTCTAATCATAACAACAAGAAAGAGTAAAAGAAAAAATAAAGCAAATATGTCAAACTGTTAGTAACTCGTATCTGGGTGAAGGTTTTATGGGAGGACTTTGCAGTATTCCTACAGATTTTGTTTAAATTTGAAATTATGTCAAAGAAAAAAGAATAACAGAGTGAGAGATTTTATCCCTAACAGAAAAATTTAAAAGAGAAACTATCTAGCAATAACTTCAACAAAGAATGTGTATGCTTACATTGCAGAAAACTACAAAATTATACTTGAGATAGGAGAATATTGGAAAAGGATTACACATCATACTGCAAAATACAAGTATCAGACATCAGAAAGATTTCTACTGGTCCTACGTTTTTACGTCACAACAACATCTGATTTTATCAGTCAAGCACCCTCTTTTTCACTTACTGTGGTGGAATTCTTCTCTCACACTAGACCTACTGCATGCATCCACTCATACAGAGCCCTAGTCACATAGTTCAGGTGGAGCTGACCCTGTCCCCCACAGTTCCCTGTCCCTTAAGACTCTTGCCATCACACAAAGAGGACTCCATGAATCCAACTCACATACCTCTGGACACAGTAACTGATTCACCAACAAGCACCCAACACAAGTTGGGACAACCAAATAAAACATTAAGAAGTTCTTTCTTCTGGTTGCTAGACTGGAAAAATGAGTATCTCAGCTGCTTAGGGCCATCTTCTACACCAGGTGGGAAAGGGCAGGAAGACTGAAACACAAAGAAGCTAAGCCCAAAGAGATAGGACCTAGACAACATAATCTGAGTCCCCTGGATCCAGCCTCACCTGAACTTACCACCACCTCTGCAATTTCACTGACATAATATCAATTAATATCTCTTTTATTTCTTTTTATTTAACTTAATACTAGATTTTCACCTCATAAAGAATAATGGCAAAAATTTCCAAAATTAATAAAAATAAAATTGATAAAATAATAGATTGAACAAGGTAGAGGACCCTAAATGACACTACTGTGTATCTATCTATCTGAGTTCATCATCTAAGAAATGTCACAAATTAATGAAGTGTCAGTTATTCAACAATTATCAGTACTGGGAAAATCAATTATTTAAAACAATAAAAGAAGAGTCTTGCCTCATACTCCCTCAACTTACCTACCCTAAACAGCTCAAACGAAAGGGAAAAACACAAACACATACCTAGGTTTTTCTCCAGCCACTGATGTCCTTCAATTAGTTGGTCGATTAAAGAGAAGTAGTGTGGTGTGGCTTCATCAGGCATAACCCAGCCACCTGTCGCGATTTCAAGCTGACCGTTCTGTAGTAAGCTAGGGAGGTAAGCATAAGAGTTTGTATCAATATAAGACAGTTCAAATAAGAAAACTAAAAGAATATAAGCATTTAAGAACAATGTTTAAATATAGCCAACACTTATGCTAGTTGTTAATTTTTTTTTTTTAAAACCAGTGACTAAATCTTTAGGAGAGAATGAATCCTTAGGAGAGAATCTTTGGTATCCCTTCTTTTCCTAGGCAGCTACATGCAGGTCACTTTCCCACAAGGATATAATGCAAAAGTTACTGAAGTCAGAGACACATGCAATTTATTTATGAATCTTGCAGAGCACCTAGCAAAGTCCTTCACTCAGGGTCCATGCCTGGTGAGTATTCACTGGACAGCTGTCATTTTAAGGATGGTCAATGTACATATATTGAGAAGTCTGTATTTATTTCAAGTCTCTGGCACTGATAAGCAAATCACAGAAACTACTCAAAATTATTAATAATAATATTTAAAGCAATGCTTTAGATTTAGTTGAAATGTAGGCTATATAGCTTATTTTTCATTATTGAATGAAAAGCTCTAATATGAAGGAGTACCTTTGCCATAATATCCTACAGGGTAACAAGAACCCCAGCCCTAGTAAAATATCAATTGTTAAGAAGATACTTTTCTCTGAGAAGGAAGAAAAAAAAAAAAACCATAAACTACAGAAAATTTAAAAAGTATCTGAGAAAGTATGGAGGTCAAGATTTTTAAGCAGTCATCTAAGGATCAAAGTTTTGTCTGTTTGTAACAAGATGGTTTAGAAAATAATGTAAAATTTCAGCAAGGAAACTTTAATAAGTATAAACCAACACTTACAAACATGGTAGAAATTTATAAAAATTGTTTTAAGAACACAACTAAACCCAAGGCTATGTTTACTATCCACCCCAAGTGCAAATGGCCTTTGTTCACAGTTGGTCACTTTATAGATCTTGCTAACAAGTGCCTGATTCAGCCACTCTCTGCCTTGTGAATAAGGCATGGCAACCTGAGGTGTCAGGACAGTTTGGAATTTAATTTCTGACTATCAACTATGGAATATTTCATATCCCAGTAAAAAATGTCTTTTACAAGATTTCGGACATAAATTAATGAAAAACAAATTCTTTGCTGAGCTTGAATAGAGACTAGGAATTACTGATTAAGAAGACTGAAAACTAAATGGAAAAAAAAATCACTCCAAAGATAGAATTTTTCCTTTTTCATCTACGTCAGTTTCCCTTTGCTACATAACTCCTGTCCCGTTGACATGAATGGTTCAAGGAGCAGTCAACCAAGCAAAGAATCACACATGGATTACAGCAGGTAATTTTCACAGCTCCACTTGTGAATAATCATCCCTTCCCCTTCCTCATGATGCCTGAAATACTACTTTGATAATATACTGAGTTCTTAATCTGTACACAATGGTTCTTTTAAAGACTAGACCTCCCACTAAAGATGTTTTTTAGTGTTATTTTTTCCCTCTTTCCCAACTTAGCTCACATCAGCTGCCTTCATGTCTCAACTCAATAGAACTTACCTAGAAGTCTCCGTGAGCACACAAGCCAAGCCAACACTCCCACTGTACTCCCACGCCCTATCACATCAAAGCCTTTATCATGGACCAAAACGACCTTGCTTATTCATGTTTCTACTCATTCTGCTCCCTCCTATCCACCATTAGAACACAAGTTCCGAAACAGGGACTAAGACATACTGTTCTGCTCATATCTGCTTACCAAGAACTAAGAGGCTTGCTTTCAGAAATCAATGAATGAGGGTCTCAGTTTAATATCAGTATTTACGTAAGGTTTTTTTATATTAGGACAAGCTCACAGGTGTAAGCAAAATAAAATGGAAAGGAAAGGATCAGCTAGAATGGAGTTTCTATAATCTAGAATATAGTACTGGTAGAAATATGAAGGAGAAAGAAGAGAAAAGAGGCAGCTCATGAAAAATACCAGTAGGAATTAGGAAATGATTGGAGCTAGAAGAAAGGATTTCAGTAAAGATGCCTTGGACTTTCCAATCCAGGTGTCTAAAAGAGTAGCAATAACAGTAAACAGAGGAAATGGGTTGAGAAGGGAAGTCATTTATAATCATGAATATAAATTTGGTCTGTGCTATTTAGTGATAGTGGGTCCTCCAAAAGGAACCAACTGCAATATGAAACTTACCTTAAAAGGGCCTATATAAAAGTTACATTTCAGAGGACTGAAAAAAAGAAAAAATAGGAGGGGATGGGAAATCTTGAAAAATACCAAAAGGACAGTCAAAGATCAAATAGAAAGATGACACAAGTGATAAGAAATGTTAAAGATAAAAAAAAAAAACACTATAAAACATTCCACAAAAGAAACCTGCCCTTCCCATTGGCTATAGACGTTGAAAAGTTACCATAACTATAACACAGAATTGACACATCAGTAGGTCAGACAGTAAGATTAAGAAGTAGATTTTTAAAATATTTATATTATTAATATAAGCAGCAAATGAACAGGGAAAGAATGAATTAATATAGGCTTTTTTTCTCTTTAAGTTTCAATAAGAGCGGTTTCAAATGAGCTCATGAGAAAAAGTTAAAACATTACGCCATGGAAGCCAAGGGACTGCTGTTTTAAAATACCATGCACCTATGATTTTTTTTTTAAAGAAAATATGTGTAAGTAGCTCAAAAACAGACATAAATTATGTCATGATAGCTGGCCAGAAAGAGAATAGATTTTAGTTTTTCTTAGCATGGTTTCTCTAATCAGACAGAACAAAACACCAGCTGGAAACAAACAGACAGCATGATTTTTAAATATGAACTCACAGCTCAACTAACATGACAGCAGGGATAATCAGGTAATTGAGAACACCTACTTCACTGAACTGCCTATTTGTCCCACTGTATGACCTTCTGAACCATCCATCAGAATGCAAAAACATTATAAACCAGAAGTTTCTCGCAGGCAGGAAGGTTTGCTTTGATATTAAATATTTACTGGGTTAGACAAAAACACTTGCCACACACCATTCACCCCCCCCACACACACACACGGAAATTAAAAAAAACACTTCAAAAACACAAAACTTGCCCTGTATTCCAGGACATATGTGATAGCATTTAAGTATCTGATTATCTGATGAATATGAGGAAAAAAAAACACCAAAAAAATGAGAAAAACTGTTGACCTAATTATTGAGAAACACAGCAATGATCATCATTTAGTGATAGCTATAAAAATTAGAATGGAAAGTCTCATAGTAGCAACGTGTCAAAAAATACCTTTAAAATGTTTATAAGCAGTAACAGAAAAGCTGTATGAGCCTCAAAAGTACCAATACTTAAAATCACTATTGTTAGCAATAAAATTATGACAGATTGTAACTGTACCCTCAAGACTTTAATAATTAAAAATAAGTAATAGGAAATGCTTGTAGCTACAAAAAAACTTTACTTAAATACTGGCACTTCAAGTATTTCCATTCACTAAGTGTTCATCAAGCATCAATATGAAAACTAAGAAAAATAATGAAAAAATTATGTGCCCACACCCCAGAGGATCTATTCCTTAGTTTCTACCAGGAGGCTCTGTGATTTCTGGTCAACATTTTTATATGTATACATCATGATATTTCCTAATAAATGAAACCTAGAAGCAAACCTGAAAAGTCATAGAGAAAGCAAGAGAAACAAAGGAGTACACACATCTAGCAAATACAGAAATTTAGAAACTAGGACCTGACTTTCAAACTTAACAGTAGTCATGTTTCACTTTTTTACAATGTGAGTCGACTCACAAAAGATATTAGCATACCTCCATGTCTCAATTTTAATGCTGGAAATTTGGCATAAAAAGCTTAAGGAAATAACTGATCAAAATTAAGCTGGGCAAATCTGTCACTGCTCATTTTGCCTAAGATGCAGAATTACACTTAAGAATTTACTGCAAAGCACAAGAAGCTATAAATCATTTTCGGTGAGTGTCATTTCTTCCCCCATGAAGAATCATCAGATATTTGGAATTTGGTCACACACAGAAAAGATTCACTCAAAGAGCTTTTCTCTCTAATGGGGAAATTGTTACAGACAACTTAGTAGCAAACAATGCATCATTTAGTAAGCTTCAAAGAATCACAAATTCATTTCACATGAGAAAATGAGATGAACTTGTAATCACACATTTGGGGAAATACAAAATAATATAAGATGACGTACAGGGCTTCATTCTTAAATAAAAAATTAGTTAAATAGATAACTCGAAAAGATGGAGGCTCCCAAAGAATCAATATATACCCTAAAGACATTTTCTAGTCAAAATCACTGACTTCTATTCCTTTCATGGGGTGTATCTATTATAATAGCAAAAATAAGATTTGCTTAAAAACCCCTCATATAAAAATTGGGGAAAATTCGTATTTTTTTTCATATTGTTGATGCCTTTCTTCAAAGAAAGAAAAAGAGAAAAAAAAAAAACAGGAAAAGAGAACATGAGTCATCGCTCACCATTTCTTCCTCATTTCATTCTACCTTAGCCCTTTCATCGGCTGGTCATCCATGCTTTCTGTCTGCCTAGGATTTTCCCTTCCAATATCTCCCTAGTTGCTTCTTATGAATGGATGAGAAACCATTACTGGCTACTACACACACACCCAAACCTCACCTAAATTGTCACCTTTTGTAACATCCTAAACTCTTCTTTCATAGCATTTATAACCAAAGTTAATCACACATGTGTATATGTACTGTCTTGTTCCTCACACGGTGAGGGCAGGGATCCGATCAGTTTCATTTCCCATTCAACACGAATATTCCCTGCTTTCATAACACTGTAAGAAAAGGGTACCAATACTGCAAAAGAAAAACAAATAAAAGGACATGAAGCAGATATTTCAGAAAAACTGGCACTTGAAGAGGAAAATAAGTTTAACTTCACTCACAAGGAAACAAACTTCAGTGAGTTGCAGCTTCTCACCTATTACATCAGAAAGACAAAAAAGTTACACAATGTACTGTAAAGCCACGGTTGTG